CTATATAGGAATACTAGAGAGTTTGGAGTATTCAACTGTAAAAATGGACACAACCAAAGGACGTAAAGCAGCCATGGAACAGCAAAATTCATGTCCAAACACTAGCTGCTGTCATTGCACTTCAGATGTCACAGCTGACACTGTAGATATCAGCAATGTGGACATAGGACACATCAGGTAAAGTACTGGTGTTGCTTCATTGGTTGCATTTTCAGGTAAGTCTACTTTTTGTTTCTGTACATTTTTCTCTATCTATCATGCGCTAATTTAAAAATGTTGTGTTTTGCTGGCCAACTTAGATAATATCCCTTCACTCTACATAGAAGAGGAATGAGGAAGGACCTTTTTGTTTATTTGTTTTTAAAAGACTTAGGTGTCTCTGTCACACCAAAAATACTCTAGTGAAAAGACAAGTGCAGGTATTGATAATTTTTTAATGACCTGTATACATTTATTCATCTCTTTAACATAACCTCAAGTTTCTTTTTTTGTTTGTTTGTTTGTTTTCCTTTTTCTGTTTTTGGGTCCTGTCCAGGGGAGTAGGTCATCAGTAACTATGTTTTCAGTTACTACAATCCTCCAAGTCATTAATTCTACTAAGCTCTGACAGACTCATTTTGCTGACTATATCTCACATGTTCAGATGATTCTCACCTCACAAACTTGTCGGCACATCTGAGTTCTTTATCTCAAATTTTATACAATGTACAAAATAGCACCATCCAGAGATGGTGCCATTTTTTAATTTTTATGATTCCTTAATTATATTCAATCACCATACATGTCTATAGTACACAAATGGTTTTTCAAAGTAGGTGACAATCAAAACAAAAATATTATTATATACAACTTTTTTAACAGAGAACATAACATTTTTGTATCTGTTAAGTGATTCCTCCCTGAGCACCTCACATCCACCCTTTAATCTACTCCCCTTCCCTACCATCTCTGGTATTTAGTTTTCCATCCTCCTATTATATTTTCAGAATTTTTGCAGTAGAGTACAGATATTTGGTATATATGGAGTGCAAATATAGCTCTTGTTTTTCAATGTCTGAGTTACTTTTCTTAGCATTATATTTTTAATATTCATCCACTTTCAATCGACAGAGTCTCACTGATTTTTATGGCTAAGTAGTATTCCATAGTGTATATGAGTCACATGCTTTCAATCCAGTAATCAGATTTTGGGCATTTAGGTTGATTTCATATCCAAGCAATTGTGAATAATGCTTCAATAAACATGGATTACAAGTGTCTATCCAACTGATTGTTATCCTATCCTCTGAGTAAATACTAAGAATACCAGTTATCAATTACCGGTCCATATGGCAGTTTTATGGTAGATTTTTGAGAATCCTCCATATTGTTTTCCAGAGTGACTGTACTAATTTTTATCCCCATCAACAATGTAGGAGGGGTCCCTTTTCACCATAGCCTCGCTAGTACTAGCTGTTCTTTAGTTTCTGATCTTTTTAATTCTGACTGAGGTTAAATGGTATCTCACCGTGGTCTTAATTTGCATTTCTCTTTTGATAAGAAATGCTGAACTATTTTTTCATGTTCATGTTGGCTATTTGTATGTATTCCTTAGAGAGTTGTCTATTCAGCTCATTTACCCATTTTTAAATCAGATTATTAATTTTTCTGCAGGGTAGCTGCTTGAATTCCTTATATATTACCAATTCCTTATCTGAAATACAACTTACAAAATATTTTCTCTTATTCTGAGGATTGTCTCTTATCTCTAATTACTGTTTCCATTGTTATGCATAAGCATTTTAGCTTGACATAATCTCCCTTGTCTATTTTTGAGATTACTGCCTGTGCTTTATGGTTCTTATTTAAGAACTCTACTCCAGTGTCTTCAAATGTTTCCCATCGGTTTTTCTTCCAGTTGTTTTACACTTTGAGGCTTTATATTTAGATGTTTAATCCATGCAGCCTCCTCTTGACATGTCCACTTCCCACTTCTCTCTCTGCGAGTCAGCCATGCTTACCATTTATTGCTCACAATCTACACCCTCCAGTGTAAGGCTATGTGCATGTCAAGAGTTCACAGGCATTGTCTTGTAGTAAATATAGATGGCTTAGAACCCCGACCCAGAACTACAGTCAGAACCTGGCTTTTAAGAAAACTCCATGAAATGCATAGACATTGTCATTTGTTTAGATCTAAGCTACTTCCCACTGTGGTTTTGTTTGTTTTCCATTTTCTCCCCTCCCTGACATTTGCCTAGTTAAATTTCCCAGTAGATTTCAGTGTAGGAGCTAGATAAAGGTTGTAATCTGTAACATCTATTCTCTCAAATTACTGACTGAGATATTTTCTGTTATTAGCAGCTGAACTAACTAAAGCATGTGTAAAACAAAGTTTGCATAAAATGTCAGAAGTATCACCTGTAGTGAAAATAGTGGCAAAAAGTATTTTTCCAATTGTTAAAACTTAAACTGTTTATAGTGAAATGGTGTTTGTGATTCCAAAATGGTGTTTATGCCTTTTGGGGAATATCTGGACTTTTCACACAAATCAACAATGCCCAGTGGAACTGCTTCACTCTGTTTTATAGTGAATCCTCTAGTGCCCTTAGGGAAATTTTAGGTTTGTACACTCTCCTTTTCTGGCATAAGCACAACAACATGTTGATTATTATTTGTACACAAATTTATATAACTAGTGTTTCCTCAAGGCTGGGAAATGTGGCCTCAAAAATGATTCAGTGCACAAAGAATTACTCCTTGTATTTTTGTTCTACTTTTGTATTATGCTATACTTTAGAAAGCTTTCTACTTATACAGGATCTCCATAATTTCTTTGAATATGGGTAAGAGGGAAATAATTTTATAATAATTATTATGCTTTACAGAATGTTTTAAAATGTTTATTTTAATTTTAAGTTGGGCTTAGCAAGCTTTCAAGATAGTCACGTTGAAATTGGAGACCTGTTACTGCTTGTCTATTTTACTTTTGAGTACAATATTGATTAGTAAAGGTATGGCTGACTTTTAATGGCATTTTTATATTTTGTTAGCTTAAGTATAATGATTTTGTAAGACAACTTTTGGCGATCTAGAACTTTAAAGAACTAATAGCTGGTTTAAAGTGTCAAGTAACAATCTTACATAAGCATTGTTTTTGATGATTCGGCTATAAAGACTAATTTTAAAAATATTAATCACAATTTTTGATTAATACATTTAAGGAGTCTTATAGTAGCACATTTGTTAAAATACAACACTCTGTGAAGCTAGAGCCCATGAGAAAATACTGCGTTTGTGTCTAGACATCTACATGAGTATGCCAGCCGCACACATGCCCATGACCTTGTGCTGACTTAGGTTAGGGAAACATCTCTGCATTCAAGATCTTATTGGTGAAATTGTCTCAGTCTCTCTGTATCTCTTCATCTCTGTTCCTCATAAGGTAAATAACATTTAAATTAGTCATTTAAGTTTATAATTATGTGTGTGTGTGTGCATTTAGATAATGTGTGTGTGCAAATAAGTGTGAGAGAGAAAAAATTATACTCAACAGCATCTCATGCGGTATTCTCGTTTATCAGCCCTTCGACTCCTCAGTATCCTGGGTGTCCAGAACGGCATTTATAGGTCAGTTTATAGTACTATGCTTGAAATTGAACCTAAGGCCAACCAGTTTTTTCTAGCCTTTACAAGACACTGGGTACTGCTACACCACAGTAGCTGGGCCAGTCACTGACAAATATTCGCATACCTCCAACAATTTTATCGACATATATGTGTATGTGTGCATGTATTTATAAAGATATGAAGAAAATGTTACTCCACTGCTCTTTTCAGTTTTTACACCTTTATCCTTACACACATACAAATGAATTTCTAAAATTTTGATTATTAGTGATATGGAATTTGAATATGCATTTAACAGCTGCTATGATTGTATTTATTATATAAATCATCTATTAGAAGTTCAGGTCATTTGGTCAATTCTTTTTTTTAAAGATAGATTTTTACTATAGGGCACATGCACTTGCCAGAGAGACAGAGAAAGACAGAGAGACAGAAAGCGAGAAATCACCAAATCACCCCCTGGGGGGGTGGCCATGCTACAATCCTTTCTCCTTCATTCTCCTCTTGGGTTCTTGGGCACGCATACACATGTACCCACTGTGAGTTTAAGCCACTGGGTCCAAGACTTGAACTGTGGTTGACTACATGGGATCTAGCGACATAGCCATTACGCCAACTGCTGGTCCCCATTGTATATTTTTCTTACCTATATATAAAGCCCAGATTAATTTTTTTAGAAAAATAATAATTTGTAGGGCTCTAATAAATATATAGTTGTTGGTAACACTCTTCCCCTAATTTCAACTAATATAATGAATGCTATTTTTTCTTCCTTTTTGTATGAAAAAAATATTGTGGTTTTTTTGACCGGAAAAAGACAGAGAGAAATGGAAAGTGACAAAGCAAGCCACCAGGTCTAGGACTCAATACCAGTTGTTCATGTGAGAGTCCAGCACCTTAACACCATGCCACCTGGTAGCCCCTGTTTTTTGTGTTTATTTGTTTGTTTTTTTATTTGTTTTATTATTTTATGATTTCTTATATATTTTAAATTATTGTATATCTTTATAACATACAATATGGTTTTTTCAAACATGCATGCAGTGCCTATCAATCAAGTGAAAGATATTACCATATATATCATTTTCAATGAGAACCTTACATTCTTGTGTCTGTTAAATGTTTTCTTCCTAAGATCTTGTTTCATACCCTCTACTATCCAGTATGCAGATTCTACACTTGCCCTCTACAGTATAATGTTTTTGAATCTTTCAATTTCCACCATACAGTACAGACATTTGATATATGTTGAATGGCGATTAACAATATTTGTTTCTCATGGTCTGACTTGCTTCACTTAGCATTTAGTCTTTTACATTCATCCACATTGTAGTAAATTACAGAGTGTGGATTTTTGATAATTATTGCCTTCTTTTTAGGGGACATCTAAAAACATGGAAAAGAAAAATACAACATTGTATTCAGAGTTCATTCTCATAGGACTTACACATCAACCAGAGTGGAAAATTCCTCTGTTCCTGGTGTTCTTGGTCATATATCTCATCACCATGGTGGGGAACCTTGGTTTGATTGTTCTCATCTGGAATGACCCCCACCTTCACATCCCCATGTACTTACTCCTTGGGAATTTAGCCTTTGTAGATGCTTTGATGTCATCCACAGTGATCCCAAAGATGCTGGACAACTTCTTAACCACAAACAAGATCATCTCTCTCTCTGAATGCATGACTCAATTTTTTTCCTTTGCAATCGCTGGTACCACAGAATGTTTTCTCTTGACAGCAATGGCATATGATCGCTATGTGGCCATATGCAAACCTTTATTTTATCCCATGATTATGACCCACAGACTATGCATTCGGTTATTAATCTTGTCATTTGTGGGTGCTATTGTTCATGCTTCCATTCATGAAGGATTTATGTTCAGATTAACCTTCTGTAATTCCAACATAATACATCACTTTTACTGTGATGTTATCCCATTGCTAAAGATTTCCTGTGTTGACCCTTCCATTAATTTTTTAATGATTTTTATTTTTGCCAGTTCAATTCAGATATTTACTGTTACAACTGTTCTTGTGTCTTATTCATTTGTTCTCTTTACCATCTTAAAAAAGAAGTCTGTGAAAGGCATAAGGAAAGCCTTCTCCACCTGTGGTGCCCATCTCTCATCTGTATTCTTATACTACGGCCCTCTTATCTTTATGTATGTACACCCATCATCTGTATTCTTATACTACGGCCCTCTTATCTTTATGTACGTACAGTCTCAATCACCAAAGTCAGATGATGAAGATATGATGGACTCTCTATTTTATGTGGTCATTATACCTTTGTTGAACCCAATTATCTACAGTCTGAGAAACAAGCAAGTCATAAATTCACTGACAAAACTATTCAAGAGAAATATTTCAATAGCTTAGTAGCATTCTTATACTACGGCCCTCTTATCTTTATGTACGTACAGTCTCAATCACCAAAGTCAGATGATGAAGATATGATGGACTCTCTATTTTATGTGGTCATTATACCTTTGTTGAACCCAATTATCTACAGTCTGAGAAACAAGCAAGTCATAAATTCACTGACAAAACTATTCAAGAGAAATATTTCAATAGCTTAGTAGCATCTCTTCTCTTTTTTAGTATAATTTTCACAAAATTTTGCAGCTTAAAGTTACTTATGTTTTTCACAGTGCTCAAAAGCTTTAGCAATGATAAGTATCCTAGAATTGTAATTCAAGGTATTGGTACATAATAACCTACTTAAACTGTGTGCATATTTTTATTCATGAGTTTAAAGGATTGTAACAAGTGTTCATGCCATACAAGAATAATTAGAGCTGAAAGATGAATTTGAACCCCTACCTGTCACCTTTGACAAAAATCAAGTCAAGGTGGATTAAGGATCTAAATCTAAGACCCCAAACTATTAAACTGCTTCTAGAAAACACTGGGGAAACTCTGGGAGACATTGGGGTAGAGAAAGACTTTT